CAAATTCTCTGATGTTTTACTCAAAAGTAAATTGAAATAATAAAATGCTTCAGCCATATAATCGCATGCTGAGTATTCAGATCCTGTTATTGCATTGATAAGAATTCTGTCAACTTCTCTGATAGAACCTTGACCATTCACAAATTTCTGCAAGTATTCAAGTTCCGAAGAAAATACTTCTATAGTAAGCGCTCCAACTAATCTATCATCAATTCTCTGCAAGCAAAATTTATCTCATTGTATATAAATAAGAAATTTTTATATTGAATTTATCAAGCTATTACAAATGATTTTAAGCTTGATTCTTCTAATTATATACAGCAACTTACTTGCATCTTAAGCTTTGATAATAATATGGCAATCAAACGTTTATAGAAAATTGCTTCCTGAGTATTTTGTTTATCTAGTTCTTTATAATTGTATAAATCACTACATGATTGTGATATAGTAAGAGATTCATTCTTCTCGGCCACTGGACTAAAATATAAAAGATTCAAAATGATTTATTAACCTTAAAATTTTATATCTTATGTAAAATAATATAATTTATACCTAGTTAAGTCTTCTTTTGCAAACATGTAGAAGAATGATTGTATTTCTGTGAGCTCGGGAGTGGATCTAAAATGAAAAGTACATTCATGTAGAAGATCTAAAATAAAAACTCATGTAGAAGATCTAAAATAACAACTCATATATTTACATAAAAATGCAATTAATATATTTATGTCTTACAAGAAAATTATATAATTGTATGCAGTGAATGGATTTTGTTTACTTAAAAGTAATGAAGAAAATACTAGCAAGCATATGGCTTGGAAAAAATTACGCTGAATATATAATATATAATATATTGTTTATATAATACATACGCAATGAACTTATTTCTGGCAGTAAAATGTGTACTAAATACCAAAAATACTCACGGTATGACATCATCCTTCTCACAATAAACATTCAAGAAAAATACACACAAGTAAGCTACAACGTAAATTGACATTTGCAGAAATTGCATGTCGTCAAACGCTTCTACGCTTCTTTAAAAATATCGTTCAATGCTGTTCTATTATGATAGAAATCTGATAAATAAAATGTTTTCACAGACAATTAAAAAAAACACATGCCGGTACAAAAAAAAGTGTGATCTTTCCGAGAGCTTCTATACTGTACAAACTATACTAAAACTGGAATGAGACTTCCCTTCCCTATGCCAAAAGTTGTGTGGGCGATCGATTGTGTAAGGGATCTTTAAATTTTTAGAAATGAGTCTTTCTGGATCTTTCTAGAGAGTCTTTAACAGTCTCTAGGACTTTCCCGCTAGGAAAGTATGTTCAAATTCCCACTCGAGTGCCACTCAGGAGATCAATTCTGTATCTTGAATCCAGGTCGATTCTGTATCTTCAAACAAGATGAAAATTAAAAGTAAACAAATTTACTAGGTGTTAATTAATGAAATTATCAATATTCTAGTAAATTCGCTCACTTTTGTAATTTTCACCTCGTTTCAAGATAGAATCGATTCCCAGATATCACTCCATCCTTAAGCCCGAAGTCCACGATGCTAGAAATCGGTCTCAGATAGAAGTCAGAGAAAAAATTAACAAATCACTTTTAAACAATTTGATCACATGACCAAATTGTTGCGATTGGTCAATTCTTTCTTCATCCCAGGTCTTGGACTGATTTTTAACATCGTGGACACAAAGCTTTAGGGTGAAATCACATAGTGCGGAATTAGGACTGCGGAATAGAGAATGCGTCATTGGTTGTGTTCAGCAATTGAGTACTTGCTGCTATTGATGTATTCTTCTAGATCTAAAATTTTTATTGGATGATCTAAAAGAATACATCAACAGCGAGCGCTCACTTAATGTTGAGTCTATTGAACGCAACCATTGAAACTAAGCTCTAAATATCAAAGTAGCGAATAGATTTTCCATTTTAAATTTATTAATACCTTATATCAATAATACTAAGTGCAAGTTTTGAGAATTTTTTCAGAATTTTTTAATACCATATTTTCTCAAGTTAAAATATAGTAAAAATATAGTTAAATATGGTAAAATACAGTTGCCAATAAAAAAATGTAGTATTAAAAAGTCGATAAAAAATCCTGAAAAAATTCTTAAGAGTTCTATGAGAAGAAAATAAATAGTTTTTGCAACTTTTGCAGTTTTTCTGTAAAATTGAGTATTTATATTTGAAAAAAAGTTATTAAAGATCTATATTTGATAATTTTTAGTAATTAATAATTTGTTAACTATTGCGAAAATTGCAAAATGATAGAGGACTTTTCGACTCAATTTAGTTTCATCTACCTTCCTGAGTTATTGCAATAGTCTCGCCGGACGTTCTGTACATAATATATATATATATATACACACACACACACACACACACACACACACACACACACACACACACACACACACACACACACACACCACACACACACACCACACACAAAGACACTAGATATGTAGGTATTCCTATCCGTCATTTTTTGGTTCTATTTGATTATAGTAAGATAATAGAGAGAGAAATCTTCAAAATAGGATCATATTTATTGATCAAAGAAAATAACAATACACTGTTCTGTAACTGTGTTCCAAAATTTACTGCCAGTATTAAAAATCTATAATGCACATAACGCAAACTATAGCATTTTCAGTGCTAGCAGTAAATTTAAAACGCAACCCATCTTGTTAGAATTTATTAATTTTTTACCACGTATGCATATTATACATTTGCATACTCTTTTCACATTTGTAGTCCTAAAATCCTGAAATAACATTCTTTGTATTGATAACTAATTACGATTAAAATACTGTTGCATATGTGAGTTTATTGGTGTAATACATCCATCTACATTTTTAAGATTTCTGTCGCCTATTTTCTTACAAGAAATTCACATGTGATAAGGTAATATAAAAAAAAACGAAGGAAAAAAGTATGGTTGCTTTAATATTGAAGTAATAATGGTATTAAAAAGTATTATACATTATCTTCAATGAGTCATTATTCTCCTTTCTCGTGTGTATAATAGTTTATTCAAAATAAGACTTAAATTAAATTTTTGTAATCTAGATCGTTGATTTAGTATATAACACCGAGTATCATTTAACAATCTTAATCTTAGAATTATTCTTAGATAGTTTATTCTCAGGTTTCACTTCACCGAATCTGGCCTTTCTTTTCTCCAATCGTTCAGCCATCTCAACCTAAAGAAACAAAAGATTTAAAATAAAATCAATGTGATAGAAAAATGATATATATATATATATATATATAT